CAAAGACTGCAAGTCTTTTTACTTGGAAACATTTTCATCCGATCGAAATGTACATAAATTCTCACTGAATTCACTCATAGTGAGAATTCATTGTCGAAGTGAGCAAAATTGTTCCATTCAAAAGGTATATTTCCTTGATTTCTGATCGAAATTATCAAATACCTAAGTGCTTGACGATTCGATGAAAATTCATTGCGGGTGTTTTTTTTTCACTTTTTCGATAATCTGTGAACTTTTAGTTATTTCAAAATTCAAATGATATAATTCATACGATGCATTCCTTTCGTAAAGATCGAAATTTTTGAAACGGCAGAATTCAGCTGACGTTAATACTGATAGAAAATGGACTTGAAGCATTGCAAATAAGTGTTTGGGAATCAAGAATTTCATATTCACATGCAAGTGTATTGTTATTAGCTTAGACCCGAGATGACAAGATGCCTGAGAACGCAGTATGCCTTTGTGGCATGATCATTATTATCATTATCTGAAATATCAATTTGAATTTGGATAATTTGGTTTCTTGGATTTATTCAATAATTCGTTGAATTAACTCCTTTATGATTATTAATGAACATATTGGTTCGAAAAAATGTGTTTGAACATGTCCCGCATCGATATTACAAAAATTGTTCGATCCCCGGATTATCCCGGGATCAAAAATCGATCCCGGGATTGAAAAAACGTCGGGATTTTGCAAACCCTAGTCATAAATCATTCTTTGTAATTATTCTCCCATTCGGAGCAAACAAAGTGCTTAAGAACGGCTGTATGGCTATGGACATGGCTTCTGCATTAAATTAAAATTTTTGCCACGAAACTGGTCTTCGATTCAGAGAATGTTCGCACAGAATAACAGTCCAACAACCAGAAAATGATCATGAAATCAAGCAATACTCTGCCAAGACTTCTCAAGCTTCGTGATTTCTTTTTTGACTATATTAATCTGAAAAGTTATTTACTTGGCATCTATGAACTGATTTTCGCTTGTAGGAAAATTGAACCATGCGGTTTCGTACTATTTCACCATTCGCCTCTCGCAATTTTCGTATTCTGAAGTCCAACAAGATTATGCGTCTGCCGCTCGCAAAATTCAATCACAGGTTTGTCAGAAAATCCTCTTCGATACCTGAACACCTTATTGAGCTTCTTGTCAAAGGGCAACGTTTTTTTTTTGTTGATAGAATTGGTATCACTCACGGTTCTTCGATTCCTCTTTTCGTAGATTTCCTCTTTTCAATCGATTACGAATGATATTTCTACGTTCCAAACGATCTGCACTTCATTGACGATTCCTTCATTGTTTGCTTTGTTAGATATCGGAAAAAATTTCAAATCGTAAAGTAGGAAAATTTGCAAAATAATCGTTTTAACTTACTCGGTGACGTTTAACGTTCACGCACGAAATTCGATCGTTATCTTCTTGCTGATAACGGTCAAGGTTTTTCTAGAAGCAATAAAAGTTGATGATTATCGGTAATAATAGTCAGTGCCGAAGAAGATAATGATTTTATAATCATTTTTTGCACCTAAGTAAGATATCAGTGATAGTTCAGAAGATCGAAGAGCAGTGCATCTTCAAAAAAGTTCTTATTAAAAATTGAGATCCTTAAGCTCAGCATTTTTCCTCTTCTATTAGGTGTTCCATGTTTATCAACTGATGAAGTGATTATCAACCTTATTCATATATCAAAAAGTTGGAAATATTGCAAAGTGAGCGATGAAGATGCTTCTTCATTGCCTTTTGTTATTGGAGAAGTGTCGTCGATGTTTCTTTCTCATTTTGTGGTGAATTATTGGTTCGAAAATTCGCATCATCGATTGAGGAAATTGGAAATTGATACAATAACTGAGAAATTATCCGATAACGAAACATTGAATTGCTAGTTGGAGTATGCGCTGAACGGAGCGGCGAATGGTGCTGATAGTCCTCAGCATAAACGTCAAAAGAGAGAGATTCATTGCTGCAAGGGCGCCTCAATAACAATGTAAGTTATAGTGCGATACTTTGAGTGTATCAAAACAACATGAACATGGATAATGCGTTCAAAATTTGATTCACCCAATGGAATGAAGTTCTTTCCATCATTGCACACGCAGCATTTGGAATGGTTTCGTGACACCGTAAAAATACTCTTGGGCTTGCTAAGCGAAATTCAAGAGCACAATTTTCGTGCAGGGAATAATCAACACAAACCGAATTGAATTCTGTGTAGGAAATAATCAACACAAACTGAATTCTATGATGAGGATCATATCACGGGGAAAAGAATTTTAAACGGAGAGTATTTCGAATTGCAGTTTGGGTATAGCAGATGATCAACGCGGTGGTGTCGCGGTAGTGTCCGGTATGTCATACACAGCCAACAATGCTCCGAAACTGCATGAATTGAAGGCGAAAATCAATAGCATGTTTGGTGCAACCGTTGAAAAAACGATCGGTGAGCGTTGAAATTTTATTAGGATTCGTCACGGAGGCTGATTCTTCTACACAATGAAATTCCAATTTTCCAACAATAAAATTTGTCTTTCGGCATATTATAGGCCATTGTTTTGATTTCAGCAGATTCTTCGCTTTGATCATTAGGAGATTCTAAAAATCTGTTTCAAGCTCTCTCTTTTCACCCATCCACTTCAAAAGGTGGTTTTGAATAGTCGAGCTCACCAAATTACCAATATATGACACCGAATTACTCGTTTCAGACAATCGAGAACCTAGTGCTATGTTATCGCCAATGTGTATCCCATTGGAAAACAGTGAGTTTCATACGTATTCTGTTGAAATCTAAACGTATGAAGATAAGTTTTTTTTTCTGTGGCGAATTAAAGTGATTATATTGATAAGGATAGGTGGATGTTTTTTATGGTGATTGAAAGTGCACATTCACAAGCAGATTGGAAAGGGTGATTGTGACTTCATTTCATTCGATAATGATTCTGTATTCTCTCTTATATGAGAACTATTTTTCACATATGAATCCTGCGAAAGATTCGCATGTAATCGTTCGAAAGGATTATTAATCGTATGAAACGATTCGCGTTGAACATATATTATAGATCAGACAACAAACAGTGGAATTTCAGTGATGTATTCTAACAAGTAAATTGTACTTTCGACAATTCGATTGCTAAGTGTGCATTAGTGAAACCTATTGAAGTTGAAATCAGTTTCCATTCCAAACAAGTTACACAATAACGGGATTCTGATAAAGAACATTTCAGTAACCGATACCACAACAACAACATTCAAAACACCGGTTAGTCTTGAAATGATACTTCCAATGTCTCTTGATCTTGAATAAAATACCGGGGGAAAATGTCAGTCATTTTTTCGTCATCTATTGCATTCAGCTCCCATATATCATTGATTATTGTTTAAATGAAATGAAGAGGTCGGGATATGACTCGGTATACTTTTGCAAGCCCTCACTTGAGCACCTTTAGAAGTATAAAGTTGAAGTGATCTCAGAGTGAAAGAACACGCGGTGAGCATGAATTCGAATCGGTCATCTTGCAGTTCAGCTGATAAGCCAACATTTAATTCCCAATCACAATAAAATTCGAATTACAATACATTTGCATAAGTCAACTTTTCGCTCAAAACTTCATTTCACTTTCACTGTTTCACGATCCAGTTCATGATTTAGTTAGAATGGATATTCAAATAAATTTCATTGGCAAACTAATGACTGTAAGTCAGTCATCACCTGATCCTAGGGTT